TAATAGAATATGAAATTTCATACAAATATATAGAACAATATATAAACAAACAGAAAGATTTTAAGAAAATCAAAAGTCTTTGAAGCAGAAAAAACAGCCAATCCAAAAGATAAGAAAACATTGTAAAGAACAAACTAAAAAGAGAAAGGAAAGAGAAATACAACACATATTCCCAAAGAAAATCAATTAATTTTCATCAGTAAACCAAATCAATTAACCAACCAACCTCAATCGGTCAGTCAACAGACAGTCGGTCAATAGTCAATACGCTTTTTGCATAAGGGACACTCATCCCTCAACTTGATAGCAGCTAAGTAAAAAAAAAGAGAGATAAATATTGTATTTATTATCAATTAATAGATACAATAGATGAATGTACTCACCAGCAACGCACACCCTATGAAAATAATGCCCATGACACGGTGGAAGTTTAACAATATGTTGATCTGACGTGGTTGAATTCGGGTCCTGAAACCCATCCAGACAGATGATACATGTGTCTTCAGTTGTAACCTCGGAAATCGCAACCGGTTGTAAAATTGAGTTATCATCTAATAAAAAAAAAGAAATAAATGAATATTCATTTATTGTCTAATATAATCCCATACATATATTGTAAGTGAGGAACGGATAAATGTGGATATGGAATCGGCTCAAATTGTAATTGGGGGAGGGGAATAACTACAGTCAGAATAAGGGTAAAGCTAATGCCGGGAATAAGATTAGTGCTAGTCAAAAAATTCTAATTCACATTAAGAGGATATCAAATTCACAATATTCCACTCCCATTCACAACATATACAAAAGAAAACAAAAATGATTATACCATTAGCGACTCTTCGCATTCGTCGTGTTCCTCCTGAATTCAAGTTGTGCTGTTGAAATCGAGGTATGGCATAATTGAATCGAATCTCATAACGATCTGAAGTTGACGCAAAGAACCCACGTGTTGGACTAAGCATCGCATCTCTGCGCTGGTAAGCATCTTCTAATTCTGCCGAGGATGCCAAATCATAAGGAATCCATTGATCTGGATTTGCGCGCCATTCCCACTACACACCAAAATCATATGTAAGTGATCCCATAAACAAAGGAGATTGTCTGACGAAGGTCGTGTCTTTTATGTGATTTCTTAAAGGTTTACCTGCACCGGAAGATCTTTGGCGTCTGTACGGGTCTGGTAGCACATTACGCAGGTTAAATCAATGGCCTGGGAAGAATGAATGTCAAAAATTAAGAAAAACGTTGCTTTTCTGATATATTTAAAATAACTTTCACATTCAAATAACTGAACTCACCTCGTTTCTAAAGGTACATCGTTCACAAGACCAGGGCTCAGTGCTAGTTTGGAAGGAATTCGACATATTCCACTGCGAAATTTTCTTATTATTGGGTATATAGTCAGACCTTAACCTCCCGGGACCGGATATATATGAGGGTGGATAACAAAAGAATGCTTATATATACTAAACAGCTGATTCGCTATTGATATTAATGAGGATGTATTTATAAAAAAATTCTGAGGTTATGTTTGATAACAAGGAAATTTTTATATTAAAAAATCCGTCCTATGACTTATGCCGCTAATAACGGGATGTTGATATCGATGAGAATAATCGTTTCACAGAATGAGTTGTTTATTATCTACCTCTTTTTTGTCATTTAAACAAATTTAGAATTCTATTATCGTTATGTAGAAGTTTTTGGGTTTTGTGAAATGAACGATATTCAACGATCAAACTTGGCAAACTTTAGTTCCGACATTCGGGAATTCTTTACTGCGTTTAATAACGCGCGTTTTTTTATATTTATAAAAAAGAAAAACGAGGTGCGCCCAGCTTAGTCGTATCATATCTGCGTCTGCTGCTTTTGAATCTGCAATAGGAAGGCATAATCATTTTTAATCCCAGCCAAATAAAGTTATTATATGCAAAACAATCATGTAATTTTACATGATAAAATTCAGCCTATCAAAAAATAATAAACGTGATATTCCAGGTGCTGTCTTTTACATTTTTCATATATGATTTATTTTCACATAATATACAGTGACTCACAGAAGAAACGGAAAAGTTTTACGAAAAGAAATTCTAGTGACTCTAACGTCGATTCAGAATACCTAGTTCCTATACTCATTTTAAAGCTAATAACCTAGAGAATATTTTAAAAATCCTAAAACTATATTAATGCTGCCATTCTAAAGAAATTGGGCGATCTACATGAATATTTTTAATTAGTGAAATTTTAACTCTAAATAGTTTTGTTACCAGGGAGGA